TGAAATTAAAATTTAGTTCAGACAAACAAAATTAAACACAGGCGTTAATGACTTCGAGGTTTTACACCTTAAAAACAACTACAATTAATAAAACATGAGGTATAGTATATCATTAAAATAATTGTGAAATTTAGACTAAAAGGTTTGGAAATATGTAAGAAGTAAATTAAAGCAAACGGTGATCAATTGTACAGTATATGCAGATTAGTTATTTCCGATTGACAATTATTATTATTAAGTATTAAAAAAATAGTATGGCATAAGTGATAACATTAAATTCATTAAAACAACATGCAAGTTTTTTTAATTTAATTATAACATAATTATTTGTATACGTTTTCTTTGACCTCGTTCAATGTAATCATGCTTTTATATTTATAGATGGCTTAAGAGATATCGGGTTAATTAAATGCGAATGGACGTATTAGTTTTTTCAATCGTTAGCAATGCTTTCAAATAGCTACTCATTTTAAATAATGATTTCATAAACAATTATATAATTTAAGAAAATAATTATCTACCTTTGCCTGTTAGATTTAAACGATTGGAGTGGACTCGAGAATTGAAAGGGATTTTTCTAAATCCAAAATTTATGCGTGTATTGTTGTGAGGTGGAGGACATATTTCAGGATTTTGGATTAGATATGCTAATGGAATCCTTCACGATGAATAAGATTTTGCATCAATTCAATCCACTTTTACTCTGAAGTGGGTTGTTGGGGCACCCTGGAAATCATTTAAATCTTCCATATTTTGTATCTTGTCCTATTAAAAAATAAAAAAAAGAAAGTTTTGAAAATTATTTGTCTGTTGTACTGAGACCCTTAGCAACAGTTTATTCACTTTTATTTGGTAAAGGTACATAGATATGTATCAATTTATCTAATTATGTAAAACTAAAAATATACAGGAAGAAATGGATAATTTATGTCCGATTTTTTTTCCACGAACCGGCCAGCAAGATCCACGTGAATGTCATTTCGGGTTTCTCTTCACTCCCTCAGCCTTCCTCTTACTCCAATACCCTCTCATACTCCAGGACTGTTCCTCTCGCTCTTCCTTAGTCCATTTTCTCCCTCGTCTCTCCCTCCCGCCTACAAGAACCCCAACCCTTTTCAGTTTTTCCCTAAAAAGCTCTCTATCCAAGCAATCTTTATCCGTGATTTTTAGCCTGTCTAGTTTCTCTTTTATTTGTTTTACACACCCCCCCATACTTTTATAGCTGCAAACTTTGTCAAAAATTTTCTTATTCAGTCTTTCACTATTCATCCTGACCATGTGCCCGTAGAACCTCAGTCTTCTGGTCCTGACGACTGTTTCAAAATCTTCCAAATTGGGTCCGTGAATCCTCCTCAGAATCTTCCTCTCAATCTTCAGGATTTTCTCTAGGCTCGGAAGGCTCACTGTTTCAATACCATATAATATTACAGGTCTCGCTACTGTGCAGTAATGCCTTATTTTTGCAATTCAGGACAATATTTTTTTTTTCGTAAACATTCCTGGTTGCGAAGTTCAGTCTTTCCAGTTTGGTTATTCTTCCTTCGATTGATGCTTTATCCGTTCCGTTACTACATATTATCTCCACTAGGTATTTAAAGTTTTTGGTCACTTTTATTTTCTCATATTTTGTGTCCAATATTTTCTTGGTGAAGTTGGTATCTGTTGTCATAATTTCTGTAAGAGATATGTAGTCCCGTTTTCTCGGATATTTCTTTCAGGGTGTTTACCTGTTTTATGGCTTCCTCTTCTGTCTCTGCTAGTAGGGCTAGGTCATCTGCAAAGACCAGGCATTGTGTCCGATTTATTAAAAAAAAAATTACAAATTCACAATTTTACAATAGAGAGGATTTGGATTTTCTTAGAACTGCACCTGTCGACGACTGTTAACAATCAGCAGATGGTCTGATAACAGTAACTGACATGTCGGGCATGAAGACGGTACTAAATATAGGTATAGATAGTACCCAGCAGTAACTCTTCTCTGGCTTGAATCAATTACCATGGTTTGTTAAGGAAGAAGGGCTCTCATCCCGTGTGTAAAAGTTGATTTTTATTTTCTGATTGGAATTTTTTTTTATCACAATTTAATCATTAATATTCATGTAAAAACGTATCACTCCGACGGTGTGAGTACAACTACAACATTCTATTAATCTTATTCTATTTAATGCCAATTTTTTAAATTATCATATTCATCGAAATAGTTTGTTAATAAATTAATAATTGAGAGGAATATATCTAGAACAACATCTATGGATAAAAAGCCTTCCGCGATATGAAGACTAAGGACTAATATTAAGGCGGATTGACGAAGAGTAAAGTGTTACAGAAACTGTTGATCTGGTTTCCAACTGATCTGTAATTTTCAAGGACTGGAAAAATAAAAAAAATATTGTGACCTTGGTCCCGCATGTGTGTGAACACGATATCTCCAGAACGGACAGATTTAAAACGTAACGTTTCGACCGAATTTGTATTAAATTCTCAGATTTCTTGGGCTATTTGCATAAATGGTCTAAAATTAAATAATTTAAAAGATAAAACAATTGTGAACTATTTTTAAAATTTCATATTACAATTATTACTAATGCCCAGCAATTATCCTTAACCCTAATTCTTCGGAATTATTCCATTTTTTTCTTAATATTTACTTTCTACTTTTTTTAATTTTTGAAAAAAAAAGTTAATAGTAAAGAAAATGTTTATTAACCACAAGCAGATCCTTTTATTTATCTGTAATCCATAACTTATTTATCTAAAATCCAATATTTCCAAAAAGTGGAACCTAACTTTATTTGATTAAAAAAGAGCAGAGTATCTCAGTGAGTAAGTCAGTGTGCTCCTACCCTCCACCTCCCAGGTTCTAATTCGGCTATGGTAGTTAATCATTAATTTTTTTGGATCATCCGAGGATCAATTCCGGAGTCACAAGATCCTCCATGGAGAGTGCCCACCCTCTAAAAAGTAAATATTCATAATTAAATAATTGGTTTAAAGGTAAACTCAGGAGGTTGAGAAAGATAACCTCCTTGACTTCTTTTGGCTAAGACTTGCTTGGTTGACTTCCTTACAAAGTACTGAACCCAAGGTTCTGAATGGGTAGATTTTTAAAATTTTTAGATTAAAGTTTATTTGTACCAGTAACAGACAGTTTTGAACTCATTAACAAATAATTAGCCTTATAGATCGTTCAAATAAAAGTAGGTTTGCATTTAGAATACTTAAGCGGTTAGGCGATGTCTGAAACACCAGTATTATTTTGGTTATCGTTGCCCAAAATCGTGAACAAGACGGTCTAATTTTTGCAAGACCAACATTTGTTGCAAGAACAAGACTAATAAAAAAAAAAAAGCTTTTTTGTGAATAATATTTATGAGAAAATAGTTATTAATATTAGATAATGCTAGACAATTTTAGTTATTTCATGTAAATAATTGGAAGAACCAATATATGTTTGTATTTAACTTTTCCAATTTTTCATTCGGGGTTTAGTTATATTTCTCCTATGTTAAATATGTTATTTTTAGTGGAAATATTTAATTTTTTTAAAATCGGGAGGAAAGTCATGTTAGTGGACACACCAGATTTATTATTTAAATAAATAGATATAATACAATCAGGTGCAGATTGAAAAATAAAAGTAAAAAAAAAAAAAAAAATAGGTGCCATTGTATAAATTGTCTTTTCTCTACATCTCTTCCATTCCAAGGTGGGGTCAATCACTATCTTGGTTTACAATGCCTTTAATTTATTGTCAAGTTTTGTTGGGCTTTATTATGTTTATGTCAATGAAACATCGTAATGTACCTATCCTGTAGTATTTTCTAAGATCTAAAGAATATGTTTTATAAATAGAATTAACTAATATATAACTGCAAGACTCTTGCGCAAGATCAAGACTCGTCTTGGTCTTTTATTTGGGTTCTACTACACTAATCATGGTACAGTAGCCGTTTGGCAGTTGATTTTTTTTTTAAGGAAGGAGGCTGGACATGTTAAATCAAAGATTACGAGTTCAAATCTCGGTGCTGCAGGGACTTTTAACTCTGGCATAATTTCCCGCCCTCTACTCTGGCATAGAAAAACACCTTTTAGGTATAAAGGCGAGGAATAGGAGAAAAAAGTTTATAATTGTACGTAATAAATTTTTTCTTTTTAAAATTATATATATAAAAAAACGCCTTTTTCTCAACACCCAATTGTCTGATACTGATGAAATATATGCTGTTAGTAATTTCTAAGTTGAAAAAAAAATCGAAAAAATACAAAATTCGCTGACTATTTAAGTAACCCATTTGTCTCTAACCACCCTGTACATGGCACACGGTGTGGAGGGAGGGAAGATTGTTCTTGAGGTTCAACCAAATCTATTCTAACCACAATGGAAAGGTTAAAGTTCATTCCGTATATGCGAAACAAATAATCAAACCCAGGAGTGCTCATCTCCCGCCCCCAAGGTCTATATCTCAAAAACCTATTCTCCCTCTCCCAAGATATTTTATTGTTTACTTTTTCTTAAGAAGAAAGCAAGCGAAGATAGAATTAGAAAAATTGCAGATCATGTAGAATTTTTGGAATAGAAATTATATAGAATTTCTCGTAAGTTTGAAACTTTTCATTTTGAAAATTCATAACTCTGTTGAAATGTGCCGCACTCCAAAATTCAAAATTATTTATGGCCCTAATTACGTCATGAAAGCCCCTTCAGGGCACCCCTAATCAAACCCCATTTGTGAAGAACCTCCATCAAAACAACAGTTGCTCTCATTAATGTTGAAAATTCCTCTTAAAGTATCTATTACCGGTGCATTTACCTTTTACGTGTTCATTCCCATTATTTTATTAATTAAGCAGATATTTCTCATTAGTATTTTTTCATTTCATTCTCTGGATGGGGTTGACTTATTGACAAAAATGCTGTATTTATTTTCAAATATAGTTTTTTTTTTACCCTCTACGGTTCATTGCGTAACATTCATTCTTGCCTCAGCCGGTCTGTTATGAACCCCAATCTGTCTTGTTGGATAAAATCCCCATTGATCTATGGAGTTTATCAAATTGAGCCCTATATATGCTAATCCACCTGCGGAGTTATCAGTCACGGATCAGAACAGAGGCACGTTTATGCAAGATGCAGGTCCGATTGTTCACGGTTCGAAAGTGCCAATAAATCATTGAGCGGGCCCGAACGGCCGCGGAGGGAAGCCGACAAGGCTGGACCGCTAAGGCTAGGACCATGGAAGGACCGGCCTATTCATCAGCACTTCTCCTTCCAATATATTCCATGTCCTAAACCGTTTAAGATCCTCGGGCCTATTTGGTCAACTTGTCTCCGTGATAAATGGAACGGTTATAAGTCACTCCAAGTGCTAGAATTGGAGAAGCTAATCCTTTCTTATTACCTTCAGCAAGATTAATTTTTCTATAAAGGATGAAATCATCGGGTGGTTTGTAGTGTCGGAGCTGCTGACTAGTCTCAAATTGAAACTTTACTAAAAAACAAAACAAAAACAAGTCATAACATTTGTTTTTTAAAAATATTCATGCCACATTGAATGTAAGCTGAAGCAAACATTTTAACACTAACATTTGAATTTTTTTATTTGTTATTTTGTTTATTTTTTAATTATAACTTTTCATATTTTTTTTTAGTTTTATGGAATATATTACATTCTACCTCAATCAAGGAAAATGATAGGTGTAATGAAAAACTAAAAATGAGACCATATAAAAAATAAAATAAAATAATAACTACAGTCGTGGTCTTGGAAAATGCATCCCCTATTTGTTTTGATTCTTATGTTGATAACGTTGATTTCGTTTTTTTTTTTTTTTTTATTCAAATGTTTTTGTTTTTTTGCTGTGAAAACTTCTTTAGGCGCGTTTGGCACTTGTGGAGAGTGAATTAGATTGAGCCGTCAGATTTCCGATGTGTCGAGCGTTACACATCGGAAATCTGACGTAAAGTTGGCTGTAGTTGACTAATTGAAGTTTTTTTTCATCTGGATTAAAATATCTCAAAAACTAAAAATTGCATCTGTATACAGTTAGCGAGGGAAATGTTCATCATTTCATCTCTGTATAATGAGCTATTATTTCATATTATTATCTCGCTTTGTTGATGTTTTCACTTTTATCGTGTAGTTTTAAGCACACACCTTAGTTTTTTTTTCTTTATTATTTAGGTTACAAGAAAACTTTAACTGATTTTAACTATTGCCAGGATAAAATAAGAAATTATGAACAGTTTCAAAAAAATTTCCTCTTCAGAAATATTAAAATTCTGATGTTAAATTAAGTAAAGGACTTTTCACGAGGATTAGTATAGGATATAGTACAATCAAAGGTGATCATAGATTAAAAAATAAAAAAGGCACCGTTGAGCGAAAAAAGGGAACTAGGAGAAAAAATCACACGAACAATTTGAACCTTTAATGGTGTGATTATTTTTAGAATATTGTTTCAAATTTCTATGACCACTACTGTATATAAAAAATATAAATAGATTATTTTAAAAAAAATTTTTTTTTGTTGTATAGGTACTTTCTGTCGTTTTGTTTTATAGATTTTTTTTTTGGTTTTTAAAAATTTAACTTGCTCCTGTCAACCTTTGTCTGTGGACTATCAACAAGTATTCCAGGAATTAATAACATTTAAGACATGGGGAAAAATATAACTGTACCAATTCGTGGTACAGAATCGTTTTTAATAAATTATTAACCTCGCTATCTCATCAAATCAATCAATTTAATGAGTTATTAAAATCTCATGATTGCTTTCCACTTAAATCGTAAGATAAATTAAGCACAAATTTTTTCCATCGTTTCAACTAGTCTAATATTTAAGTAAGTGATGTAAATTTAGTGAATCCTGTGTAGCGTCCTAATGTTTTGTGAATTGTTCCCTCGTTAGCGTAAGTAGCTATCAAGGTTTCATTGTTACAGGTAATCCAAAAAATAACTTAGAAATTCCTAATGTGATGGAAGTACTAATTGATTTGGTAGATTAAAACCAATGTTTTTATAATGAATGTTGCAATCTATTGATCATTATAATAGTCCTAATTTGTTTCATATAACCTCCGTTATCTTCTGTAAAAGATTATCTAAACATTACATATATGATCTTAAGGAATAAGTTGGTCAGCCAATAATGAGTTATGTGTATTGTGATTATTATCTTTTATCCAAATCACACTATGGAGGACTTGGTAACCCTCAACCCAAAATTTTCCCAAGAGCTGTAATTTACTCTTCCTAACAATGAAGATTGTTTTTTTTTTTTAGAAATTATCATTTTTTTACTTATTGTTGCAATAAATTAAGTTATAATAATTTTTACATACTTGTGCTATTTAGTAATGCATAGGTTATTGCTATTTTGTTGGAAAAACCTTTGTTCACAGTAGGAGAAAACTAATTTTCTTACTGCTTATTCGAAAATAACGCATAAAATCATTAAATTATCGTAAATAAATAGGATTATTCTGAGTTTAGTTATGTGTGTCCATTTTAGTGATTTATTTTAGTTTCCTATTATTTGGATCACATGGTTTTCAGATACTGGTGTAAGCTCAAAACACCTTTTGAGGTTTGAATGAAAAATAATAATAATAATTTTTTTACTACTGTCCGTTGCAAGCCATAACGATCATTTAAACATTTTATTCATTCGTTTTTATTATTATGTATACCTCAAATTCTTCAAGGTTTAATTCTTTCCGTGTTAATTTGGAAACAATAAAAAGCGATTTATTGATAAAAGGTGGATTACTTGAGGACAAGTAAGACTGTTTTATTCAGTGGTATAAATACCTTACTTGTGCAAGCAATTAGAACTGTCTAGTCTTATTTTTTTTCAAATTAAAATGGGCTTCGAACGTAAATAAGCTTCAGAATTATATAACTCACTAGGATTATTGTGATTCAAATATAAACTCAATTGGCTTCTGCGTTGTTTTTTTTCCTGCAGATTTGATCATAATCGAAAATTACTAGTAGGTTGGTTCATTTCATTTATAAAAAAAAAGAATAAAATAAAATCTGCATATAGTGTTGTAGTAGATAAAAGATAATAGATGTCGATTTTTTTCTAGTGGCTACATCGCCTATCTATCTACAGCTCGTGCATTTCTTCAATTGCCTGGTGCTGTTTTTTTTAAAAAGGGACTATTACTATTTCTAACGGATTCTTGACCTTTAAAATAATTATTTCTTTAAAAAAAAAATCAGTTATAATATACACAATCTGAACACAATATATACGTACTGACATTTTCAATCTATATTGTGTTTAGATAATTATTATAGTTTATTGAATACTCAATGGTCGACCGTAGTGTAATGGTACGGGGTAGCAGAAATAAAACGTTGGCTTAAAGAAAATAGTTTTTCACTACTTTATGTTTTTATACGAACGCCACAATCTCTTTCCAACCCTCAAGATTATATTATATATTTCTATATTTACATCACTAGCGAGGAGGACGGTATCATCCGTTTAATTTCTATTTTACAAATTATAAAACTGTGATAGCTGTTATAACCATTCTATCAATAGCGTTTTCTTCGCCAGCCCTGATGAAGGCCCGAACTTCGGGTCGAAACGTCGGCAAATATTAAAATAAATATTATTATTTTTTTTTTGCCATTTTTATTTTTAACTGATCATCCTAACTACCCTTCTCTTCATTATAAAACTGTTTATTTAACTGAATTGTACTACTCGTTGCTCAAATTGTATAACTGTAAATTACATGTATTTCTTGTTCAGAATGTCTTATTTCCAATCCACATAAAAAAAACGGAACAAAACTTCAGTTCTGAAATTTTTTTATGTTCTTCATAAATCTATATCATATATTACTATATAAATTTTAACTATTCGTATTGCCAATTTGAAACCATAATATGGGAGAAATATTGCTGGGAACAAGAAGTGTGGTGTCTTGGTTACGGTCCGTTCCGTTTCTGTCTTTGTTACAGTCTCCCCGCTTTGTATATGCCAAATAAAATATGACACGGTCACCAACGGCTTTTTTTTTTTTATAATAGAGAGATATTTCTTTAGTTATTATAACAGAACTAACGTGATAAATTAATTAGAATTCATCAACTAGAATTCTTGTGATTCCTTTTTGAACTGTTTGGTTAGGCTAAACAGATAGCACGTTCAGCTCCTTTTTATTTTTTTGTCAGAAATATCGCCTGAAATGGTAACTTTTCATTCTGTTTCTGAATAAATATGTGAAAACCTAAAAAAATTAAAATTTGAAATTGTCTAATATTATAGTAGAGTGTTTAGAAAAGAGTCTGTTGATCCTGTTTTGGTACCAACTCTTTTTTATCAATTTGTTAACATCCACCTAAAACTTCCTAAATAGCTTCATCTCATTGTTATCCACAAATATTTTATTTTCGAAAATTCTCGGAATTGGGGTGTTTACAACTTTCAGATCATATAATTATAAAAAAAAAAAAAGAATCAGAGGATAAAACGCTTTCTTAACAAACATACTTTTAAATTTCACTGGAGTGGTTAATATACAATTTCTTGGAGTATTAACAAGGCGTTTAGGTAATAATAGTTCGTGGTATATATCTATTTTTATCAAATTATAAACATCCACATAAGACTCCGTAAATAGCTTCATCTCATCGTAACCTACAAGTATTTTATTTGCAAAATTTCTCGGAATTAAAAGTGTTTTCAATCTGGAGATCGGCAAACGTTTTCTATTTAATTAGGTACTAAAAACTGCTGAATACCCATTGTCTTTTCACTTGAATCGTAAAATAATATGATCACAAAGTCGAAACAACAAGGTGGCCTACAAAATTTTGGACCGTTTGGAGTGACCTTCATTCCAAAATTTCAAAATCCCGAAGTTGTGGCATGCGGCCCTTATCTTTGTAGGCCTCTATTTTTAAGCCAATAATTTTGTGATCATATTATCTTACGATCCAAATGAAAAATAAAATGAATATTCAGAAGTTTTTAGTACCTAATTAAATAGAAAACGTTTGCCGATCTCCAGATTGAAAACACTCCAGATTCCGAGTTTTCGTAAATAAAATAGTTGTAATTTAAGATGAGATGAATCTATTTACGAAGTCTTAGGTGGATGTTTATAATTTGAAAAAAATAGGTCTGTACCATGAACTATTAATTAAACGAATACTTAATACACCACGAAGTTGTGTATTAACCTCTTTAGTGAAATTTAAAAGTATGGTTGTTAAGAATGTGTTTTATCCTCCGATTCTTTTTTTTTTTTAATAACAAATTATTTTATTAAAATTAAATTATGTAATGCAAATCGACAGACAATATGTTCCACGCAATATATTAATGTTTAGAAGAAGCCGATAAGATAATTTATATTAATAAAACATGTTATAAATTTGAGTAGAGTTGGCATTTACTCCATCGCTACAGCCGTTAAGTCCGCTCTAC